CCAAGGTAACATCACATATTGGGGGTTTTTATCACAAATAACATATTGAAATCCTATTATTGACATATCCCAGCAACAAACATCAACAGAAACATTGAGAATGAGAGAGAAACAGATAGAGACTGAGTGAGTAAGAATAAAAGAGAGGATTTACACGTGAAATTGTTTTTAGGGAGAGTTGAAGATGCTTCGAAAGATCGCAATAGTGAGGGCCCTGGTGGGTAAGACATTGTAGAACAAGAAGAGTATGAGAAAAAGGAGTAAGAGAAATCAAAGAGAAAAAGTGAGACAGAGAGATATAAACAGAGAGAGACAGAAGGTTTCAAAAAATATGTAGATGACGGTACCAGGTGAAGACGACTCAGAAATGGCGAAGACAGATGCGCTAACGGTGGAGAAGCGAGAATAGCGGACGGCAATGTTGATGGTGAGATGAGGTGATTGGTGCGATTGAGGTGTGATCGAACTCGACTGAGGTGTGAAGAGGCGCGCTATTTTTTTAATATAAGGGTTTGAATTATTTTAGTTGTCCTCTACAAACATGTTGGTCAGCCATTGTCTGAACCTGTATTTAGATATCAAAACGACGTTGTTAGACTTATTTATTTTGATGATTTATTTAATTATGTTTTAATTTATTTGAAAGAGAAAAATAGAATCCAAAATTTATTTTAATGATTTATTTAATTATATTTTAATCAAAATTTATTTTGATGATTTATTTGAAAAAGAAAAATAGAATCAAAATTTATTTTGTCCCATTATTTCTCACCTAAACCTTTATCCTAAATGTGGTTAGAATGTATTTAATATTTGATCAAATCAGGAGTTCAAACAGCCCAAAACAAAGGTTCAAACAGCCTAGCACAGCAGCAGGTCAAAAGGTTCAAAAGGATCAAGTAGAAGATATTCAAATTAGTAATGATGGAAGTACAACAACTATAAACGACTATAAAGGTTCAAAAGGCCAAAGGGTTCAAAAGGTTCAAGTGAAAGATATTCAAATTGGTAATGATGAAAGTACAACGGCTATAAACGGCTATAAATTCAAATGACTACAACGGTTATAAACGGCTATAAAGTCAAATGAACACAATGGCTATAAACGGCTATAATTTTCATTATATATACCAAAGCCTCTAATGTAAATGTAATAACCCTCACCACTATTTACTGATTAAGGTACTGATTACTGCTAAACTAAGACTGATCATGATAAGTAGTTGAACTGACTGAAAAACTGAACTGATTGATTGAATGTGCTAGTTTAAATGCATATCTATCTGTTGACTGTTAGACTATCTGTTCATGTTTTATGCTTTAAACTGCAAATTGAATGCCTTATCGGCGGCCGAATCTGGAATTGATTGTTGATTTGTGTTAGTTAGAATTCATGGGATTTTATGGCATATTTATCTGAAATGTGATTCGGTACGATTAAATTAGGATAAATGATGTTAAATTACAAAGTTGGCCTTATTCACAATTTTGCCACTCAAAGTGGCCACTATCTAAACATTTTGAGCTTCATTATACATTAGACAACACATTTCTTCAGCCTTCTTGAGCTCTTAGCCGACCAAGAGAGAGAGAGAGTGAGAGAGAATTGAGTTCATCTTGTTGATTTGCTTGGAAATTGAAGGAATTGTAGAGTTTACTGCAAAATTGAGCCTCTAGACTTGTGATTGGAGACCTAAGGTAGAGATTCTATCCCTTGGTTTATGTATTTAAGTTGTATCTTCATGAATCATTGAAATTTAGTGAGTTAAAGTCTAGAGCTGATTCTATATGTTGAATTGAAGCTCATTTCATGCATGCATGCCTATATTGATGAGTTTAAAGTTGTTTTCATGGGAAATTGTCACATGCATGTTCATATTTTTGCTAAGGACCATGAATTTATCTTGTTTTGAAAAGAATTGGCTCAGTTAAGCTAGCATTTGGAGCTTTGAAGTGTTTAAATTGTTGCATGTTCCATATTAGTCTTGTTCATGAAAATTGGTTTGAAATTGGATTTAATTGAACTACCTTTGGGCTTTGATTTCTCAAATTGATCTTTGAAACATGTTATACTATGGGTTTTGAAGTGTTTTCCAGAAAATTAGCCCAAACGGATCGAATTTGGTACATTGAAACTTGGTTTTGAGTTTGAGGTTCGAATCTGGAATTTCCAGATTTTGGACTCACGCTCGAGCGGAGTGACTGGCGCTCGAGCGTGAAATTCGTGCATCCAGCACTTTGCACTGTTTTACAGTCCACTCGAGCGGGGTATTAGACGCTCGAGCGAGGACTTGTGTCACACGCTCGAGCGGGTGTTGAGTGCCCAATCGAGTGTGATTTTCACACATCCAGTACTTTTTCGGTCCGCTCGAGCGGGAAAGTTTACGCTCGAGCGTACCCTTTTGTTTGCATGTTCGCTCGAGTGGTGAAAAACACGCTCGAGCGGTAACTCTATTTTTTGAAAATATTTTTAAAGTGCATCTTTGCATCCTCATTCCATCATAGACACTCCTAGGCCTAGTTTAAGGCATCTTAATGAGGATATTGATGTAGGACCACACCGAGTCGAGTTAGGATTAAGTTATTATTTTCCCAATTGTGTAGCTTAGTGTGTGTTCACTCTGTAACTGTGTAGGGTTGGCAACCGAGGACACGTACTAGCTTATCTGTAGCCCAGAACTCTGTGAGTAACAATGTTGTAAAGATATGTTCGAAAATGAATATTTTCTAAATGATCAATTGAACTGTTTTCTGAGCTGTTTACTGTTAACTGAATGAATGTTTGTCCTTTATTCTGAATTGTATTGTGACATCCTTAGCAACTACTGTTACTGTTACTGTTACTACTACTGTTACAGAGATCTCTGTCGGTTCCCATGTTTGGAACCATTACTGATGGCCATCATTGACTGTTCAGTCTTTCAAGACCTACTGTTTACTGTACTGTTCTGCTATTGGATGTACCACATATGACTGTTATGACTGAATGACTGATATACTGAATCAATTGACTGTTTTCAATACTGAAAGGACATTTATTCTTAACCTCTTTACACATTATGTTATTGACTGGGCTTTAACTCACTGCTCATATATATATGTAGGTGTACAGGTATCGGACCGTTACTAGAAGCGTCAGGGTAAACTCTAGTTTTGTCAAGCCAACCTTTGTGCCTCACTTCGAGGTTCCGAGCTTGTTAAGCTGAGGCTGCTTGGGGAGTTTTAGATTTTCCCCTTTTGCTTATAATCTGTATAGACTGAATGTTACTATACTGTACTGTTCTAATAGGGATTAAGTCCCTGTCTTGAACGATTGTATATATTGTACATACTGTTTTGTTTCTGAATGTGAATCTATATGAAAAGTCTTTTTGCATACAGACTGTCACAGCTCATTGGACATTGTCTATTTACTGTTTTGGCTTCCGTCATGCCCCTATACTCTGTATTATTGTTTGACTGTTAAGCAGGTTTTCGGTAATCACGGATTACTGGCTGGTTACGGTGCTAAACCCATAGTGGCGGGTTTGGGTCGTGACAGTAAACAAGTTACAAAAAACCTGAAAATATTCTTTGATCTATAAGTACTCACATTTTTTCTCAGAAATTATACACTGAGCCTTATAGCATTAAGCTCATTTTTCTTGTGTGAGATTTACAAAAAAATCAAAGTTTCATTTTATATATCTATCTTTGAGAGATATTTATTTTAAGCTTTCTTTGAAAGCAAAAATACCATTTTATCTTCTAAAAGTGTTGCAAACACTATGTTCTTGAAATCTTGTGAGTGATTGTGAATCACCTAAGATTTGCAAGGGTTTTGCCTTGTGAAGTCTATGTAAAATCCGTGGAGGATTGCTCCATTTATAAAGATGTTGTTAGCACCCCTGTGAAGCTAGAAGATAGTGAAAAATCTCAAGTAAAGCTTGAGGAGTGGATGTAGGTTTGGTTGAAGCCGAACCACTATAAATCTGTTTGTCTCCTCTTCCCTAATCTCTTTACTTTCCTACTACTGCTATAGCTATCTAATATTCATGTGTTAATAATTTGATTTACCCTGTATGTTAGTTATACTTTATTGTTATTTTACTTGATCATTTACTGCTAAGCTCATCATTATGCTTGTTAATAATTTGTTGTACTAGTAGTTAATTTTATTGGGGTATTATTAATTTTAATTTGTAGAAACCTAATTCACCCCCCTCTTAGGTTGCTTTTTGGGTAACAGATGTTGTTTTGGTATTTGCGACTAAATTATATTAGATGCTAAAAGATTGAACTGTTCCCACCCAGTTTTCACTCTCCCACCTATATTTTTAGAGACTAAAATTTTAAATTGGTCGCAAAAAATCACTTTTTGGCAACAAAATTATTTTAGTTGGTAATAGTATCAACTTTTAGTACATTTTTTTGCGACCAAAATTTTTTTGGTCGGCAAAACTGGTCTGCAAATGTGTAATTTGTTATAGAGATTTGTATTAGCTAATATTATGGTTTGTCAGTTACACAATCGATGAATGTAGATTCCCAATTTTGTGCTTTATTTTATGAAATGTATGTTTATTTCTTTCATGACTTACAATGTTGAATCATGATTGATCATATCTGTGACGCCAATGAGAGACTAATTAGTTGGAAGGAAGAGAAAATATGAAAATTGAAATCTCTAAAGCAGAAACAAATAAAGCAGCATCTTGAACATATGAATGTCAATTTAGATTGAAAATTCATTTCAGATATACTATTTCATTGAAGGATAACTAATGAAAACTGCTTGGCTAGCTCTGTTTTGTCATTCTTCACTTATTTTACCAGTCAAATTCAAGTTGAAGAACCTATAAGAGCTATGAATTTTTTTTTTAGTAGTTCTCTATAACGTCGTGTGTTCAATTTTCTATGATATATATATATATATATATCTATGTTCAACGATAACTTTGTGTTTGATAAACAATGGTCTTGCTGGGCATACAAAACTTGTGCATGGAAGCTGTTTGAAGATTTGTCAAAGAGAGTAATACTTCATTGCCCCAAGGTTTGACATAGATATAAATTTTGAGTGTGAGTGTTAATGTCAATTTGATATGAATATAAAATTGTGGAAAGGTTCTTTCTTTGAAGAATGGTTAATTTTTTTGATAAAGATTTCATGGATTCACTTCATAGATTGCATGATGGAATCTCAACTGCCCCATTATAGTAGGATTAATCGGTATTAGTTTTCTTACTTGAAGTATATTTTACTTTGAGTGTTGCTCAGCGTGCTACTCATGCTCCGTCGTAGTTATATACAAATGATGAATTTTAAGAATTCTATTAAACCTAAACTAATTTTAAATCATCTTTCCAATTTTGTAAGAAAAAAAAAAGTTTGGCCCCTGTTTTTGTATGAAATTAAACACAGTTGAAGGAGTAATTCTGAGTGGAATGAGAACCATTGAACAGAGCATTATAGCATTAAATGTCATCTCATTTCAGTTTGTTTGAGAACCATGAATTGTGTAATGAAGAACAAACATTAAGATAAATTCATTGTGCCTTTCTATATTTTTATGTCTTTAGCTTCATACATTCACTGCTACCTCATGGAGATTTTTTTTTATTATTTATCCTGTAATGGTGATTATATTGAAGGCATTTCTAAGGCTGTTTTGGTTCCTTCCGTGTCTTTTGATCAACTCCTGGGGCGTTATCACTCAAAAAACAACCAAATAGGCTTGAATAGTTAATGCCTTAACTTTTATCAGCAAGGTAAGCTTTACTTAGCAAGTTAATGTAGCATTTCTAATATATGATTGAATAGTTACTTATGCTTTTGAGTTTTGACTTTGAGAATTTTAAAATTGTTATGCTTATGCTTTTGGGTTTTTGGAGCAAGACAGGTAACCACTGATCAACATAATAAATAAGTCTATTGTGGTACCCTCCTAACCAAATACTCTCATGCATTGTGAGTAATTTTTTCTTATTTTGCATAATTGTTGTGGCCTGTGCAATATTCATGTAATAGATTTCTTGTTATCTTAGTTCTTATTTTTATATTTGGGGACTCTCTTGATCCAAAAGGAGGTGAGTTTGCTTTAGGGTGTTGACAAGGACATGAAAAAGCTTTCAATCCCTCTTTCTACAAGTGATGAGACTGATAATTGCACCATCATCTGGTATGATGTTCTTACACAATATCAAGTCAATATTCACAAGGACCCATAATTAAAAATATATATATATACATGAATAAAAAAAGAAAGAGTGGCACAGTTTCTCTCTCTCTCTCTCTCCCTGTCATTTTGCATGCACAGATGGTGTGGCTGGTAATCACATGATAATACCTGCTTCTTGTGATCTTGTAGATTGATGGTGTGGCATTGTTGCGAATGTTGTATATTATTATGAAATTTTCAACTAGTTTGTTAGTATTAGGAACTTTTGGTGGTTTGGTCCTGTGCTTTTGTGGACTCAAGTTGACATCAAACTTTTTTGAGATGTGATTGAGACCCCCTCAATCACCAACCCCCACCACCCCCACACACGTGGGGGTTGGTGATTGGAGGAGGAAAAAAATAAAAATAAAAAAATAATAATAATCTGGCCAATCAATCCAAGAGGGGGTTGTGGGGGTGGGGGGGAAAAGGGAGTCCAGATCATTTTTGAACTTTTTTTAGCTGGAAATGTTATGAAAAGGATTTCTATGCACAAAGCCATTCTTGTGGACTATTTGATGAATGATCATTTTATCAAGTATTATCAATTTTTTTATTTCCATGCTTGAATTGACTTTAAACACATACTATTTACTAATCATTAGTTGTCTGTTTTATATTTGATGAATCTCTTAGTGCTGACTTGTGCTTGAGAGCCAATGGACCTCTACTGATCACCCACACTCAGTGAACCTGTCAAGTTATTTTCAATGTGCCATTTATATTGGCTGTACAGTGCTAGCTGAGAAAGTTTGATATTGTGTTGGTTTTTGTCTTACTAGTGTTCAATAATCAAATTCATGCCTCTTTTTGCTCGAACTTGTAGTTTCAATATTAGAGGTTGATGATTTGTTTCCGATGTTCTCTTGACAGAGGGAGCAATGGTGGCAACAAGACTGACAGGAATTCTTTCAGGACAACCTATATTCTTCAAGACTCTGTAACAAGACTGTACAGAAGTGGCCTTTTTCTTGTTTCCATATACTAGTTTTTAATGTGAATTTGGGTGGTAATTGCAAGGATTCTTGGAATCAAAACTACTGTAACCTCAAATGTTTTTTTTGTAATTGCAATAGGTGGAAAATCTTTGCAAGATTCTTTTAGGAACTCTGTTATTGTAACGGGAATTTTATTAAAGGAAGAGATGGAAAATAATGCATGAATGTTAAAATTTTTGTAAATCTCTTTACATTTATTGTATATAATATTTGAATATATATGAGAATATAAGCTGTTAAAACATTGTAGGCATTTTTTATTGTTCTGGCGATGGTAACGATGGTCGCTAATACATTGTAGGTTTTTTTTTTTTTTTTTTTTTTTTTTTTTTTTTTACTTGGTTTTCTTCCAAAACTAAGTGATTGATTGAAGTCCTCCAGATCTTCTTTTTGGTTCTTAAGGTTTATATCTGGGGATATTTTGTTTGTTTTCTTTGATGTTTTTATTGAGTCTTCAACTCATGATTTAAAGAGAGTGCATCAAAGGTTTGTTTGTTATACACAAAAGAGAGAGTTATTCTTCAGTTGTGGATTCTGAAGAATTCGAGCCTGAAGCTTTGGTGGAATCCGGAGTGGCTCATCGTAAAGACAATTCCGAGGTGAAGATGGGATTGGAAGAGGCACATAGAGGTTGGTTCAAGATTCGGGCGTGGATTTGCTAGGTAATTGAGAGTATACCTGTGTAATTCCTTTAATTCTTCTTAGTGGATTGTCTTGTGGCTGTTGCCCGTGGTTTTTTTTATCACAATTGGAGGTGTCCAATTGTGGTTTTTCCACGTAAAATCACTTGTGTCTCTTTGTCTTGATTGTTTGATTGGGATTGTTATATTTTGCTTAAAATTGATACATAATCACAAATCAACATTTAGGGGATTTCTAGATTTTTCAGTTTTAGTTGCAATGTATAGATAAATTGTTGCAGTGAAATTTTTTTTACCGTTATGGGATGTATCTAGTGTTGGTAACTTTCATGGATATATATAGATATATATATATATATGTGAGAATACATGTTAATATTTTTGTTACATGTTTAAATTAATTTGTTAAGTACTTGTGATTGATATTTTTGTTGGAACAAATGCATATATAATTTTTATAATAAATAATTATTTGTGACAAATGTCATTGAAGATTATTTGTGACGTTAACAAGATGGTTGCTAAAACATAGTAAGCATTTTTTTTTTTTGGTTTTTGCAACGGCAAAACAACAGATGCAATAAGTAGGTTAGGCAATCGCAAATAATTTACAACTGCTACTTTGCCGTCACAAAAAGTATTTTTCACCCCCGTATTTGCATCTCCCATTTGTCGTCGCATAGGCCGCCGCAAAAAACTTTTTGCAACTGTATTTTTATTTTTTGCAACAACATGTGGCGGTTGCAAAAAGTACTTTTTTTTTAGTAGTGAGTGTAATGTATCTATAGATTAAAAATGACTATTGTTGACTTGTTCACAACTTTTTTTATTAATCGTGTTATGAGGTTCTTGTTTGGATCAATACATTTATAAATAAATCGTATTAGTATTAGTATATTTGATATGAATGGCTAAATAAGCTGGATTAATAATGAGTAAATTATGATAAGATTGATTAAACAAGCCGGATTATTGATGAGAAAATTCTGATATGACACGACACCATTTCTATAGTGAAAGAAATATCATTATCAATTCACAAGCATGAAAAAGGAGCATTACTATAATTCAACAAAAGGTTGCTTGGTAAATTCATTGAAGTTGGAAGGTCACTTCAAGGTACTGCAATGACTCTTGAACAGTCACTTGTCTTTGATATTATTATACATCTTGTACAAAACTATGTCAAATTTGTTAGGAGATAGAAAAATGTAAAATAGATAAACTAAAAAACTATAATGTAGATAAAATAATAAATTGAATACAAAATATAGAGAGAATTAAACTCTTATAAAACTTTTATTTAGATTTTCAAGAATCTTTAAATATAGATCTTCTAGATTTAGTTATATAATTTTTTTCAATAATTTAACTGCATAGTTGTCATTCTATATCTATTTCTCTTCTAATCTTTACTCTCTTTGTGATTCACTTCTTTCAAGCCACATGTTTCGTAACAAAATTGTCAATAACTATGATTGACACAGATGACATATTGGTGCAAATGCTACATTTTATATCTAACTTTTAAAGACTTCCTAGAGAGCTTTCACTACAAGAATTTACACATTTGCCGACAACTTTTGCCAACCAAAAAAATTTTTGTCGCAAAAAAATGTCATTTGCCGACCAAAAATAAATTTTGTAGCTAAAAATTGATACGATTACCGACTATTTGATAAAGGCATTCACAGAAGAGTTGGGAAAGGCTGTTTTTGGGGGGTTAATAGTTTCTACAACCAACCATTTGCGGTATAAATGGAATAATGAAAATGACACTACAACAAAAACATACTTTAGTGGCACTACACTAGTGGCATATTTTTAAAAAATGTCACAAAAAATGATATTTAGTGGCACGTTTTTGAAAAATGCCACAAAACGACAAACATAAAAGGCTCTAGTGACATTTCAATGAACAAGTGTCACAAAACTACAACAAAAACATACTTTAGTGGCACTACACTAGTGGAATATTTTTAGAAAACGCCACAAAAATGATATTTAGTGGCACGTTTTTGAAAAATACCACAAAACGACAAACATAAAAGGCTCTAGTGACATTTCAATGAACAAGTGTCACAAAACTACAACAAAAACATACTTTAGTGGCACTACAATAGTGGTATATTTTTAGAAAATGACACAAAAATGATATTTAGTGGCACGTTTTGGAAAAATGCCACAAAACAACAAACATAAAAGGCTCTAGTGACATTTCAATGAACAAGTGTCACAAAACTACAACAAAAACATACTTTAGTGGCACTACAATAGTGGTATATTTTTAGAAAATGACACAAAAATGATATTTAGTGGCACGTTTTGGAAAAATGCCACAAAACAACAAACATAAAAGGCTCTAGTGACATTTCAATGAACAAGTGTCACAACACTACAACAAAAACATATTTTAGTGACACCATACTAGTGGCATGTTCTTAAAAAATGTCACAAAAAGAATATTTAGTGGCATTTTTTAGAAAAATGTCATAGAGCCACAAACATACAAGGCTCTAGTGGCATTTCAATTAAAAAAAGTGTCACTTCACTACAACAAAAATGTCACTACAACAAATTTACGCTTTAGTGACACTACACTAGTAACATGTTTTTAGAAAAGGCGACTAAAACTAAGTTTGGTCGCTGATTATATGGGTTTTAGTGACTAAAAAATTTTTAGTAGCCCAAAGTAAAGCTTTTTGACGACTATAAAAATTTAGTAGCCAAAAGTCTACAATTGGCGACTAAAAATAAGTTTGGTCGCTGATTATATGGGTTTTACCGACTACAAAAATTTTAGTAGCCAAAAGTAAAGCTTTTTGGTGCAAAAAAAATTTTAGTAGCCAAAAGTCTACAATTGGCGATTAAAAAATAAGTTTAGTCGCCAAAAGTGGTCATTTTCAGCGCGGGAGAACTAAAATCCTAAGGCGGGAATAAAATTTTTTGGTGACCAAAATTTTGGTAGCTGAAAGTGCATCTTCGGCGACCAAATCCAACTTTGGTTGACAAAAGTTAAGTTTTTAGCAACTAAAAAACAATTAGTAGCCAAAAGTATAGAATTGGCGACTAAAAAATATTTTTAGTCACCAAAAGTGGTCCTTTTTTTATTTTGGTAGTAAATAGTTTATTTTACATAAATTATGTTCAATAAAATAATTATGTTTATACATATACTTTTTATATTAATATGGATGTATGTACTATATAAATAATATATGTTGCATATATAATCATGTGGTGCTATAGAGGTGTAGTGGGAAGAGTGTGGTGTATAAGGTTTATGGTGCGGAAGGTTGGCGGTTCGAGTCTCCGCAAGAGCGGATCAAATTGTTCTACAACGAATTATCTTCATGAATGACACTTGATAGCGTCACAAATAGTACCTACCATGACATTAAAGTGTCACTGAAAGGTTTTAGTCTTGATGGTGTAATGACACTTACAAGTGTCACTAACTCTTTTTTTAATGGCGCTTGATAGTGCCACAAATAATATCTACAATGACATTAAAATGTCATTGAAAGTTTTCAGCCATGATGGTGCAGTGGCACTTGCAATTATCTATCGTGGCACTCGTATCTACCGTGGCACCGATAGAAGTGGCACTTGTTCAAAATGCCACAAGACCAAAAAATGTCATTAGAATAATAGTTTTGTGGCACTTTCAAATGTCACTAAACTAAGAAAATGTTGTAGTGTGACTTCTTTCAAGTCTATACTTAAAATAAAATAAGAATAATGCTTGGGATCCCCTTTTGAGGGTCACCCCCTCACCCCTCTTTGCCACATGGCGGGTGGTGATTGGAGGAGCAGGAAAAAAAAGAAAAAGAAAAAGAAAATGTAACCAATGAGAGAGAGAGGGGGTCAAAGGGGGTGGGGGGAAAAGGAGAGATGAATCATTGTTGATAAAATAAATATACAGATTACAAAGAGAGAGAGAGAGAGAGAGAGAGAGAGAGATTCAGATTGGTTTTTTGGTACAAGTCATCAAGTTTATGGCACCACAACCACGAAATGGTTACATGTTGCTTTTGTTAAAAATACTCTAACCTCCTGTGAATCTACAAATTCAGAAAAAAAAAAATTTTTGTTTGGTTTGGAGTTTTCAAAATTATTTTTTGAATTTTCAATATTTTTATATTTTTAGTGATTTTTTAAAATATTTTAATCAATCTTTTTTTTTTTAGATCCACTTAATCTTGACATACTTAAAAAGTATAAAATTTGTTCAAAAATATTTTAAAATTTTAATGAATATAACAAAATACGAAAATATATTAAATTTTTGTTTATTTTTATTATTTTTTTATATTTAGTGATTTTTACAAAAAAAAAAATATATGTACTACTTTTTAAGTATATCTATATTAAGTGTATCTAAAAAATAAAAAAATTGTTTAAAATATTTAAAAAAATCACTAAAAATTAAAAAAAAAAAACTCAATTTTCAAAAAATTAAATTGGAACAAAAAAAAAATTTCTCTATATTTTTTACACGTTTTTTCATAAAAAATTAAAAAGTCAATTAAAATAGTCATT